CAGCACGTCCCCATCCTGGAGCTGGGGATGCAGCACAGGGATCTATAGTTCACCTAGAGATGCTTTTTTAAACGTAAAACTTACCCCCCCATCCCCCCCAGCTTCTTTTATAACACAAAAAGGATTTTTACAGCTTCCTTGAAGGCACCTGGGTGGTTTTTGCTGGCCTGGGGCCAGGCTGATGAAAGGCTCCTTGTCCTCTCTGAGAGCAACGTGCTGCAAGATTAAGTCAGTAGGTGTGCCCGCACTACAAATACCCTCCAGATAAGCCTTTCTTGTCACCAAACATCTGATGCTCTACTCGTTTAATTTTTTTAAGCCTCCTGTGGGCCTTTGCCCTCTGGAGAGGGCAGGCTCAGCTAAGTCGTACGTGGATCTGACGGCAGCTGATCCAACTGCGCTGGGGGAGAGCGCTGATGTCGCCAAGCGCGGGCTGGCCGGGCCTTCCTGGCCCCCATAACTCATTTGCTGAAAAGCTGGAGAGGCATCTCCCTTGGGGAGCTGTCTGTCTCTCCTCCTGTGGAGCTGCAGCTTGCTGCTGGGGAGATCATACGCCAGCCGGAGCAGGTGGTGGCTTCTGGGTCTGGTCCAGCGTTGCAGACAAGAGATGGCATTTTGGGGTGGCCATCTTGTACTTACGTAACGGCGCGACGCCACCTCCTGCAGCAGCCGCCAAGGGAAGGACGTGCTTCCCTCCCCCTCTGGAAGAGGGGTTGACAGGCTATATTAAAAGCCTGCTTTGCTGCAGAGCTGGATTTTTTGGCGTTGAGTGCCTTTAGCTTCTGGAATGAGCAAAGCTGATGTTTCTCTAGGCTTTTTTGGGGAACCTGAAGGCCTGCCCGGTTTCATAACCCTGACCTTCTCAAATACAAATGCTAGCTCAGACTATTTCTGCCTCTGGCCAGGGACACCTGGGCATGAGCAGCCTTGTTCTGCAGCGTCGGTGAGGTTGTGTAACCGAGGCCTGACCCATGCAGAGGTACTAGAACCAGAACCATCACCCGCTGCGAGCCTCCCTGCTCCCTGCCTGCAACTTTCACAGGCATCACTGTTCGGCGTGGCGGTGGTTAATGCCAGTTCTGCCTGGGGACAGTCCCTCCACGGCCTCCTCCATCACTGCAGTTTCCACTTCCTTTTGTCTCTGATAAGAGCGGAGGCTTGGCCCTGGGTGGGGATTGCTGCTGCCTCTCCTTTCTCAATCCTCGCGGGCAGATCTGCTGCAGGATGAGCTGGCTGGAGGAGTTAGTCACCTCTTTACTGTAAACCCGGTCATCCTGACCTCAGATGCCTCTTTCTAGAAGATTCAAGAGCCCGGGGAGGTAGCAGACACCTCCTGGGACAGCCTGCCTCCAGCATAGGCAGCCTAGGTAATAAACCTGAGGATTTAACCATTATTCCTTGAGGAAGGAATTCAGATTTATTCAGTGCTGGAAACATTCAGGCTCTGTAGGGTATTGTGCCCTCCCCTGTCCCCCCTTCCTTGCCCAGCCCAGACTGAGTGCTCAGTGTCTTCAGGCCTCCTTGAAGTCCTTGCTACTCTGATTTTAAAAAAAACAAGTCTGGAGTAGTGGGAAATGCCAGACATTCCTGTTATTTTTAAGGCTGATCCTTCCAGTAGAATTCAGTTGATGCTTTGTAAATACATGGTAATGAGAGGCAGGAGGAAGTATGGAAAAGTGAAGCTGTTGGCAGCGGGGCACGGTGCTGCGGGCAGATGGGTGTTTGGGGTACTTTTTGTCTGCTGCGTTTCTGCTCTCGCCCCTGGACAAGGTCATGGTGTCTCAGATTAATTTTTCTGAGCTCATTGAGCTGCTGGAAAATCTTGTAAAGGGGATTCTGCCTGGGACCTTAACTTTCCTTTATATATTTATTTAGACTTTAGGGGGTTTAAAATGATATTTGCAAATGACTTGAGTGGGTGGGGGATTTCCATGAGCTAGAAAGGGAGAACTCGCCTGCCTATTTTTAAAAACTTCCAAGTCATGCTCTGGATGCAGTTTCCATCTTGGGATGGCGTCGTTTCGTATTCCTCTCGTTCCCAGAAGCTGCGCAGACCCGCTCGCCCGTGTTCGTGTGGAGGCGATTTCCCAGCAAAAGCTTTTTTTTTGGTCATCTAGAGAAGCCGGCGCTGCTCCGCAGGTGTCGGAGGATGCAGCAGCAAGTGTTAGAGGGCTGAAACACAATGTTTCAGGGCTGACCAGCGGGTTTTCCTATAATAATGGGACTTTGTCGGGCTTTTCATGTGGGCAGACCTTCTTGTACTGGCTCCGGTGAATCAGCAGCTTCTGGCAGGGCTGGGGGAAAGGAGGCTTTGCCAGGACAAATTATGGTTTTCGCTGGCCTGACTCCTTTATGCCGCATGGGAGCGAGGCGATGGTGAGTCAGGGCTGCCTGCGAGAGGATCCGCACGATCTGCACGTACGTGGGGAAGGTCTGCGGAGCAGAAGTGGCCAAGGGGAGGAGCGTCGGCACAGCCGGAGCCTCTGCGGCACTGGCGAGCACGTGGCAAGGGATCTCCGCTCTGGAGGCACTGCTTCTTCTGCCGGCCCCGTTAGCTTTGACAAAGCTTTTGGGTTCGTAAGCGCCTCTGTTTCAAAGCTAACACACCGAGTTAGCTGGTGTGTGTCGCTCGCACCGTTTCGTGATTTGTGTGCGTGGGGCAGCAGGATGAAACCACTGCTCTACCCCTGCCTTGGGCTGAGCTGCAGCCTGCGTCCCCACGAGCGCCGTGCTAACGGCACCGTCGTGCAGGTGAGGGCAGCTCTGTTGAAAGAGCAGCCTGCTTTGAGTATCTCCTGTGTGCTCGGGATGGAATGGGATGAAGCTTTAAGTCAAACCAGCGTTTGAAGTCAAAACTAGCGATCTGCCCATGCCGGTGGCCACCGCCTTACATCACTCTCGCCGGAGGCTTTTTGAATGCCGGCAGTCTAGCCTGGGCAGGTCCGAGAGGACAAACGGCTTTTAGCTGCCGCCGCTACGTGAGTTACTGCGGCGTGGCCTGAGGTGCGCAGTTAGAAATGCCCGGGGGCACCAGCGCTGCTGGGAAATGAGTATCCTCCCATCCCAGAGCACGGTTAGGCTTCAGTTCGGCTTCCTCTTGGGATTGTGGGCTCTTCTTCCAGTTGTGGGGATGTGGCTCTAGTCCTGTACAGGCAAGCAGCCTGACTTGGGAGGGGTTTTTCTATCCAAACTTTGGGGGAAAAAAAAAAATTAACCACTCTTAAACTTTCTGGTGGCTTGCTGCTGCCCTGGATGAGGGGGGATGCAGGGGATGGGGGAGACCCGCAGCATCCTCAGTTGGAAGAGACCTTGAGTGTATTAAAGAAATCTAAATTTTTTTTTTTTCACATGTTCTCTGCTAAGGTGTTGTGTTTAATCAACTCAAGTCTACTTGCTTGTACAGGCTTAAAGGATGGGGTTTAAGCTTAGGCGGACTTTGCCGTGATTAGGTGCTTCTCGGCAGAAGATTGCCCGCCTAAGAGCATATCCACAGTCACGCTAGCGCCGAGCTTCCCCGGTCCCCAGATGCGATGAGGAAAGCAGTCAAGGCCTGTAGGAGAAATGACCCGAGAGCTGGGAGGGAGGAGGCAGAATCTCTGCCTGCGCACTCAAGTGCTTGAATTTTGTTGCGTTGTGTAGCTCCAGGGGAAGACTGGCAATGAAGAGAAGCTATGAAGGGAACATCTGCATAGAAGGCAGGTGAGCTTTGGGTGGTGTACATGGGGGAGGACGTGAAAATAGAAGTGTGTCTTGCCTGTATCTAAGACTTTCAAGTAGGAACATTAAGTTAGTTTGACCCAGTAGCAGCTTTCTTGTTACCTTCATATTCATCACGTGGGTGTGTTGGTGTCTCTGCTTGAAGAGCAAGTTTGGGCTGTTCCTAAACTTGGCACCGCTTTCTTCTCTTCTAGGCACAGGATTCCAGCCACGATGTCGAAGCACCATGATGCAGGGACCGCTTTCATCCAGACCCAGCAGCTGCATGCTGCCATGGCCGACACCTTCCTGGAGCACATGTGCCGCTTGGACATCGACTCGGAGCCAACCACTGCGAGAAACACCGGCATCATCTGCACCATCGGTAGGCGATTCCTAGATAGGAGAGAATTGCAGCTGTGAACCCCTGTGTTGGTGAAACTTGTTAGGGAAATTGTGGGAAGGCTTCACCTTTCATGCCTTGCCAGGGCTGAACTTACGTGTTGGAAGAAGACAACTTTCCCACGTCTGCCTAACCTGTGTTATTGCTAGGAGTGAATCTGGTGGCCAGGGAAATGAGAGATACTTAGGTTCTGCTGCACTCCTCAAGGCAAGCCAGAACAGTCTTTGCTGTAGAGATGAGCTGCTGCACCGCTGGGCAAGTCTGAATCCATTATACCTCTTCTGTTCCACATGAAACAGCCTGGCGTGTGTGCGTTATCTCCCTATTCTTATGAAGTTAATATTCAAACTGTTTCTTCCTCCTAGGCCCAGCCTCCCGCTCGGTGGAGAAGCTGAAGGAAATGATTAAATCTGGAATGAATGTTGCCCGCCTCAACTTCTCTCACGGCACCCACGAGGTAAGGGTGGGGTCTGAGCCAATACGGCCCCGACCAGGCTGTGTGTGTGTCTGCTGACCCTTTCCCTCATGGAAGAGGGAAATCCAGCTTAGTGTGGGAAGGTAAAAGCCAGCTCTGCTTTTGAGGAAAGCTGGTTGTACATACTGAGCCTGTGTAACTGCTGATAAGACTGAAGTGTGCTTTCTGAGCAGTTCTGAAAGCAGTTCCAGTCAGTTCCACGCCCTTCTCTGTACCACGGAGCCCGGTAACTGAGATTTGACACTTGTGTGCCAACTGCTTGCCACGAAATCCTTCAGTTCTTCCTCACCTCCTGCTGTTTGCTGTACAAAGCTGTTGCTTCTCAGTCAGTAGCGGGAGCAGAGAATGTCTGTTCCCGTTTTGCTGTGCCCCTCTGCAGGAGTACGAACTATCAGCTTCTTGTTTTATTGCTGGGGCTTTTGCAAGCAGGCGATCAATGAATAACCTTGTCTCAAAAGGAAACTGTTAGTGATTTGAAGTAATTACTGTGCATGGTTGAAAGAATTGAACTCCTGGGTTTGCTTGGCTAACCAGCAGCTCCGCTTGTGGTCCTGGCAGTCATGAGGTTAGCACCGCTGTGACTGGGAGCTGGTGCGGTGAGCTCCTAAGAGTAAGGTCAAAAGAAATCAACACTGTTTGTGTCAGAGAAGCCCTCAATGATATAAATAGGTGACATCCTCAGTGATACTGGAGGAGCTGAGGATCCTGTTCCAGGTTGCCTAGAATACCACCCTGAGCCTTCCTGTTGAGTTTTTTTTCACCCTGGCTGCCCTCCAGCTTTCAAAATGTCAGGCGGTAGCCAGTAGCAGCTGTAGGTGGCTTTACTTACTGAACCATGAGCCTCATGGGCTGTAACAGCTTGGCCTCTCACCCTCGTGGCCTTTAAAGGCCACAGGGCACTGTCAGAGTCGAAAGGTCTGATGCTTAACTCCGTAGAACTGTCGGACCTTGACTAAATACTCAGGGGTAGTGTTAGTGTATAGGCTACAGTTAGCAAAATCTTCCTGAAAAACTGCCTCTCAGCAGTCAAATCCTGCAGCCAGGTGGCTCGGCAGGGAGTTGATGGCTAGGCTGAAACTGGCAATTTTCACACCGCTTCTGCCCAGCGGAGCTGCTGCTGCGGTTTGCGTGCTTGTTAACTGAGATCGAGGAGAGGGACTGCGGCTTTCTGCCTTGGGTGAGGTCTGATTGCACATTTCGTACAGATGAGGTGAGGTTGTAGCAGAGTCTGGTCTTGCTGTCATCTCCTGTTGAGTTTGACTGTCTTCCAAAGCCAGTCTTAGAGGAACCAGGAGGAGACTCAAACCTGAAACACTCGTTTCCAGTGAAGTCCCAAAGAGTGTTTTTCTGTTGTCTTTCGGTTCTTTGCCCACTCAAAAGCATTAAGCAGCGCTTCAGCTTTAACAGGGGTGCTTTAGCACCTGGCTGCAACTCTTATACAGAAAAAAAATTGCTTTTACTTCCAGCTCTGCCTGCATTCCTTTTCTACATACGTAACTCTTCAGGAAGTCAGGCTCCCTCGGAGCCAGTTAGTCATCAGTATCAAACTAAAGGAAAAATCCCAGGTGACTGGGACCAGATGAACGTAATGGCCCTGTTCAGGCATGTTTTCTGTGCTGCGCCCGTGTAGGCTGCGGTGCGTGGAAGGGTCGGGGCCTTCTCAGTCTCGGCTTGCACACTGCGTCAATAAACTTAATTATTTTTCCTGCTCCATCAAGAGTTGGAAGCTGTGGTGTATCTGGCTGCGGGCATGCACACAACTCCAGGGCAGCTTTCCCCAGCCCCGCCTTCCTGGCGCTGAGTTATCATCCCCACAATACTGAAGTCTGTGTGTGGGGCTCGTGTCGAGGCGGATGGGTGGCCAGGGGGCAGCCGGGCGTTTCCGGGTGAGTCAGGTCAAGCGCTGTCTGTCTGTGGCACAGAGAGGGGAAAGGGTGTTTCTTATCGACAGAAGTCTGTCAGGAGTTGTGTAACGTAGAGTCGAGGTTATCTCTTAATGTTGTTTAAGCAAGTAAAGTAAACTGATGTGCTGGTCATCGGAAGCTCGTTTGAGGTACTTGGCATAGGGGTTTCCCCACAGAACTGGCTGTGGTGAAACTGGGAGCGTTAGCGAAACGCTCTCACTTTCGTGTGAAAGTTTGGAAGCGGGTGCGTGGTGCTACAGACTTGAACTTCCCTCTGTGATTGCTTTGGCTCTCGAAATAAAATGTACATACTTAAATGGATAATGTCCTCTTAGAAAATCCTTTAGCTTTAGGAGAAACTTAAGCCAAGGGTTGTAAAAAAAACTTGTCCGTCTCCTCACCTGTGGGACTGATACGAGGGGTCAGGCTGGAAGCTGGTGGGGCAGGTGGCAGTGCAGAGAATGGCATCCTTCCTTCTGTGCTCTGAGGGGAGGAAACAGCCCAGATAACTCCTGGGCTCCACTCTTGTGTGCGAGGGAGGGCCTTGGTATCCTCACATTTTGCTTTTCTGGAACCTCAGTCTCAAATTCTCAAGCTAGAGCTGAAATTGAGCATCATGGGAGAGCAGAGCTGTCAGCTTGAGCAACGTTTGGGGCACGTAATGATCTTGTTCATAAGTGGTGGAATAGAAATGGCCTGAACTTTGCCATTTTTTTTTTTCCCTTGCCAGTATCATGAGGGCACAATCAAGAACGTGCGAGAAGCTACGGAGAGCTTTGCCTCTGATCCCATCACCTACAGACCTGTGGCTATTGCACTGGATACCAAGGGACCTGAAATCCGAACTGGACTCATTAAGGGAGTAAGTTGCTCTCTATTTTCATCACTTGAGACTAGACATGTTATGCCTGCGGCCTTGTCCTAACAAAAAATATCTCAAGCAAACAAGGTAACAAACCAACAACCAAGAGTTTTGATGAATTGCTGCAGGCTGGGAGGTGGTTTTGTGCTGGTTTTTACTGGTTTTGCTGAAATGCATGTTTTGACCTGCAGAGTGGCACAGCAGAAGTGGAGCTGAAGAAGGGTGCACCCCTCAAAGTGACCCTGGATGATGCCTTCATGGAGAACTGCGATGAGAACGTGCTGTGGGTGGACTACAAGAATATTACCAAGGTTGTAGAAGTTGGCAGCAAAATCTATGTGGATGATGGTCTGATTTCCTTGCTGGTTAAGGAGAAAGGTGTGTAACAACTGTCCCAGCTATACCTGTTGGTTTTTCCCTCAATATGTTTGTGCTTTCCCTCCAGTAACTGTTCTCTAGCTTGCAGCTGTGTTTTGAAGGAAGGAGTATGTGGCTCTTAATGCTGTAGAGAGACTTGGAGCAAAACTCTCTACTTCAAGTGTAGCAAGTTTCCAGAAGCTGTCTTCAGCTGGGTTTCACTAGGCTGTTGTCTAAAACACCTCTTCAAAGGTGGATGCATGGTAGAGACATACCAGTGCTCATGATCAAAGCCTGTTCAGCCAGGCTAATTCATCCTTTTAATGCACGATTTAACTAGTTTTACAGCATAAACCCTGAGTTTTGTGTTTAGAGACAGAACTAGCTTTAATTGGTAATGTAGGGGCAAGGTTAGTTCCACAATACTTCTTTTATAGTGCTGACTAAACTGCTCTAGGCTCAAGGCAGCGCCTCTAATCCCAGAGTGTGTAGGGAGATGAAGGTGAGGGGATTGAGGTGCTCAGGTTGGTATTCCAGGGCTCCTGTGTGCAACCTGGTAGCTTTCTGGGGGGAGGGCAGTCCCAGCCTCCTGTGTGGGACAAATGGCATCTTCTCCAAGAACAGTGTGGAGGCGGTTTTAAACCTGTCTGTTGTGCTCCCATGGGTAAGTTGCAAGAATGTGTATTACATAAACCCTGTGGAGAGACTGATGTGCTTTTTTATCATGTGCAGTCGCTATTGGCACTACTGTTCTCAGGCAGGGAGGTGGTGTGGGAGCTGGCAGCCGGGAGCTTTCCAGTAAACACTGACCGTGGGAACACATCTGTTCCAGGCAAGGACTATGTCATGACAGAGATCGAGAACGGTGGTATGCTTGGCAGCAAAAAAGGAGTGAACCTGCCTGGTGCTGCAGTCGACCTGCCTGCGGTCTCTGAAAAGGACATTCAGGACCTAAAATTCGGTGTGGAGCAGAACGTGGATATGGTGTTTGCTTCCTTCATCCGCAAAGCTGCTGATGTCCATGCCGTCAGGAAGGTGCTAGGGGAAAAGGGAAAGAACATCAAGATCATCAGCAAGATCGAGAACCACGAGGGTGTGCGCAGGTGAGCTTTGTGCAGGTGGCACTGTATCAACGGAAGAACCACAGCCCCTTCAGGCTGTAGCCAGGACTCCTGGTCTCTGGCTTGCCAGCACAGCAAGTTACTAGTCCGAGTAACGGTGCAGTAGTGCAGGCTGTCAGTTAACGCCACGTGTATGTTGGACTTGGCGTAGCTGCGGTGTGAACGGTAGGTTGTGTAACTGTCACGTGCCCTGAGTGCATGGGGATGGTGTCACAATCTCCCTGTATCCTGAAAAAAAACCCTGAGATATTTCTTGTAGCGAGTGTGACCTCAGACCTGAGCAGACCTGCTGTTCTGGATGAAAATCAGCGAGCTCATGCATGGGAATCACCAAGTCTGACAGACTGAAGTATCTTAGGTCAACTCACCCCCCCTCAGTCTGTATCGCTTTACACGTGCTACGGTTGCTCTTGCTTTTCTTCCTCCTGCCTGGGCAGTAACAGGGTGCCAAAACGGCACGTGGGAAGCCCGTGGGCTGACAGCATAGCTGCATCTCGTGCTCCAGAGTGATGCTCCCTTCCGGGGGAGCGGGACAGAACAGACGGGAAGGTACTTTGCAGAACAAGTAGGGTAACAAACCTCTTCTCTTGTTGTCAGGTTTGATGAGATCATGGAGGCCAGTGATGGCATTATGGTGGCCCGCGGTGACCTGGGAATTGAGATCCCTGCTGAGAAAGTCTTCCTTGCCCAGAAGATGATGATTGGGCGCTGCAACAGGGCTGGCAAACCCATCATCTGTGCCACTCAGGTACTCAAAATGCAATGCTAGCTCGAAACAGCTGGAGTCTAGCTGGCGGTGAACGTCGGTAGCTGCCATGGCTTGATGGTGTTCACTAGAGAGCGAGATGCCAAGATCAAAGAGGTTTTGCTCGTAGCTGATCTCAAGGCATTTCTTTCAAGGTGGAAAGAAATGGAACTAGATGATCTTTAAGGTCCCTTGCAACCCTAACCATTCTATGGTTCTATAAGATGTGTTTGGGACCTTTCCTGGTAGGGTTACAGGACCTCGTGTGGCTGCTGAAGGATTTACCCCTCACAACTTCATGCAGTATGAGCCTTTTGTGCTGACTTAAAAAAAAAAAAGCTCTTATGCTTTGCCTTGGCATCGTGTAGCATCACATCTGTGTCTAGCAGAGGAATTTTGCTCAGCGTTCCCGTATCCCAGGTATCCTACAAGATGTGCCTGCACTGCAGTATCAGAAGGAACTGGGTAGAAGATCCATCTCATTATCCTGTGAGCTGCACTACTTCCATGTGCAGACAGTCCTTGGGCACTGGGAGGACTGGTTTCCTGGCTGTGCTTGCCCTGTGCACAGGCTGTGGAAGTCAAAACTGTCTGTAAACAGTAGTCATCAGACAAGGTTCTGGATTTACAGCAGCTTATGCTCCTTATTCATCTGTCGCTACTGAAATGCAACTGAAATGCTGCTTCAGGCAGTATTTCATGAGGAAACAAGGGATGTTTGCCCTGTCATGAGCTGTAACGGGGGAGAAATAGGAGCACCTGAGGAAGATAGGAGCACTGGCCAGGCTTTGTTGGTTGGAGCTACACTACCTTCTGGGAGAAGGGGGTAGGAAGAGCTAAGCCTGTGGAAAGCTGCCCTGTTTTCTGCTCTTCAGAGTGGGTGCTTAGGGGGCTGGTGTTGTCAGCTGCTCTGGGTTCACTAGCCTGTACTTTCTACATAAAGAACCGGAAATCTTGTGCTGGGTGACAGTGACTTTAGATGGTGCAAACTCCTAGATGCTACAGTTAATGTGGGGACATGTGGCTGGGTTTGAGCTTTCCATAAAGATGTCTAACACAACACTGTGCTCTGAAGAGCTCGGAGTTCCTTGGACTAAGCCCTGTGCTGAAAAGCTGAAGTTGGAGTATTTTATCTGCCATGCTTTGTGGCCTAAATCTCCCTGGAAAAGGAGTGAATGTAGAACAGGTACAAAATGAAATGGATTGTTTTGCTTGCTGCTAGATGCTTTAATTCAAAGATGGTTAGGGATCAGGCCCCTCTGTCCTGTAGCCCCAGGAGAACTCTTCTCCCAGTGTCCTTAGGCTGCATCCTGTCTCCAGCCCTATGTATAAAGTACGTTGAAGTGCACTAGTGAAACAGCAGCTGGTTCCTTCTGCAGTGCCTTGATGTCTTTTGGACTTGTTCTTCTCCAGATGCTGGAAAGCATGATCAAGAAACCTCGTCCGACCCGCGCCGAGGGCAGTGACGTTGCTAACGCCGTCTTGGATGGAGCAGACTGCATCATGCTCTCAGGAGAGACCGCCAAGGGAGACTACCCGCTCGAGGCTGTGCGCATGCAGCACGCTGTGAGTACTGCCCTTGCTCTGGGGGAGCCTGTCCCACAGGTGAAAGCAGCCGTGTGCTCTTCCATCTGAGCCAGGCACCTGAAGGTCTGACTGTGTCTGGTGGGAGGTGGTAACACCTAGCAGTCCAAATTAGTGATCTCTTTGTTCACACTCTCCCTGTGGGTGTTTCTTTATCTACCATGGTCCTAAGGGCCTGAAACCTCGCTTGGTGTGCTCCGAGCTGTAGTCGGTCAGAGCTGAGAACTGCTCTGCAGTGCTCTCAAATCTAAAACATCACGTTGCTCATGCTAATTTTTGTTTGGGCCGGGGCAAAGCGGGTTTTGCCGTTACCTTGGTGTGAATTTCTCCAAATGCTCTATTATTTTGGCGTATTAAATGCCCTAAACTTCTCCAAGGTCAAGGAGCTGCGTACGCAGTTTATCTCTAGATAACGGAAGGTATCGGCTGACTCCTCCGTGGGGGGGCGGGGGAGGCTTGTGTGTCTGATTTACAGCGCTGTTGCGTCCAGCACCTGGTGCGCTTGGTGTTGGGGGTGTTCGCTGCACGAGTACTGACAGCACCATGTTTTTACATGCCTGAACTGCCAGAAACCTCTGCTCTGCTTCAAGTTCACCCAGCTCGCATTTCAGCTGATAAAAAGCCTGATGTCGAGTTTCAGCCAGTGCTGCTTCTCCCCAGTTACCAGTGCTGTGAATCACGGCAGCGGTAACTCTCGACAGTGATAACTCTCGGCGGTTTTATTTGCAATTCAGGTTATAGAGATTAATCAACTCAGCTAGTGTTTGTTTGCAGTGCGTTATGTAACTTTCACCTTTATCTGGTCAATATGGAGTGGTGTTTTTTTGCACATGGCAAATGCGAAATAGGACTTGATGATTACCGATGGCTGCTGGCTGAAAGCTAACAGTGCACTTAAAAGGTTCTTCCTCAGTTTTCACCCCTGAAATCCATGAGGGTCAACTTTCTACCAAGAGTTGGAAACTTGCTGCTGCAAACCTTACACCCCAGATGCCATCCTGGCATTAATTAGACTCGGGCAGGCTGTATTGTAGCCTGAGCTCAACATCCGTTGTGTGTGCCTCCCCCTTGCTGCAGACCTGGGAATGATGATGTTCGCTCTGCCAGGCTGCTGCAGAAATCCTGAAGGTTTTAACCTTCTGTGCAGAGGGGCAAATACAGATTGGCTTTATTTAATGCAAGGTGGCGCAAGCAGCGAGGTGCCAACTCGGGGATGGTAGGAGCATGTCCCCCACAGTGAGGATCTTTCATCTGAGCTCATTCACTTGAGGGGAGCCCTGCCCAGCAGTAGTGCCCTGAATAACCACAGTCTGAAAATTGGCAGCATGGCCAGATCAGATGAGTATTTCCATCTGAAGCTTCTGAGTGGTCACAGCAGGGAAGAGAATGCTTTACCTTCACTAAAAAGCAGCTTCTGTATGCATTCTCTGGCTCAAAATTGGTATCAGTTTGGTTTTATATATATTCCTTTATCCAGTGCTGTTGCAGGGGTATTGCAGGTAAAGCTCCCTCTGTAGTGAGGTGCCGAGAGCAGCAGGGTCTGCGCTGTGTTGTAGTACCCTTGCACCTCTCTGAAAGACTTGACCTGCCTGTCCCAGCAGCTCTGCTGGGACTCTGCACTGATTTTGGTTAGTGATCCTGTTCCAGCTAACCTTTGTAGTAATGAGCTTGCTCTTCAGTGGCTGGCATCTCTGGCAGAATTGCCATGTGCCTTGAGGTTTAGTCGCAAGCTTCCAAAGATTGCGCAAGCTTTCCTGCTTGTGGGAGTGGGCTTCCTTCCAATTACAGTCTGATCCGCAGTTGTCTTCAAATGCCTCCCTGGCCATGCTGTCTAGTGGCACCAAGGTTTAAGTAGCTGCTCTGTTTCCCTTTCTTCCACCTCCACCCTGATATCCCCACCTGCATACTGACTGCAAACAGCTGTTTCTGCATGAGCAAAGCCAGCTGTGACGTGGAATTAAGGCTTGCTGTGCCCTTCTGCAGCCACTCTCAAAGCAGACACAGGTACACACACCCTCTTACAAGTGGGAATGCAGCCTTCCCTCTAAACCCTAGTTCAGTCTCTGTGTTGCGCGGAGCTGCCAGCCTTTGGACCAGGGGCTGAAGATAAACTGCCTGGTTACCAGCTCTTGCGTTTGGAGTGTTTTGAGGGAAATACTTCCATTTTGTCTAATGGCAAGTGTAAAGCCGGCAGAAACAAAACCGGCTGCTTTAGGACCAGAGTTGGCATTGAACTGCTGTTCCTGCCTGTCACGTGTCCTGTTATTTTTAGACGTAAGATACTTAACTGCTTGGGCTTAAACTGGTATCTCTGGAAGAGGGATAATTCCTAGCATCACATAAAGTAATTCATTAACACTAGAGTAGCAAAATCCTCATTTGGAAGGAGTCTAACTACAAAGTTTCACTGTAATGACACTTTAGTCTTTGCTTAAACATCAACTCGTCACGCTTTGTGTTAGTGGCTGCTCACTTTCTGGAGTAACCGGATGAAGTTGTCCGTGAGAAGATAATCAACCTTTGCATGCTTTTCTAGTCTCTGCAAGCCTTCTTTGTCGGGTTGTCAGGGCTAATACAGCCTTCTGAAACAGAATTTGTCTTTTAAACGTGATTCCCAGTGTGCTGGGATGAACAGATTACTGAACTTGTTGCAGATGTGTGGCCTGAACAGAAATCCCTTCAGCTGTGCCTCTGCACCTCTTGTCTGGCACTGTATGAACATCCCAACGTATGTCTTGTGACAACCCTATAAGGAAGACTTGTTCCTGGTTATTTCTCTGTTACCAAAAGGGAGGTTGGTACAGCCCTTGGAGGTGGATCTTTCTTGGCTCTCAGGTTAAATTAATGTAACGAAGCTGAGAGAGGAAGGGCATTGCTTGCATGCAGAGTGTGACAGCAGTGCTGTGTGGTGTTGGGAGACTACGGAGGGGGATATGGAGCTACAGAGGTTTCCTCCTGAGGAATTGGAGGCAGGAGCATCAGCAGGCTGCTAGATGGCCTGAGAGTCTCTCAAAGAACCCATCAGCAGCCACAACAAAACGTGGTCTGACTCTCAGCTGGCTTGCTCTGGCCCTTGAAAAGCAATCTGTTTCTGCCTGCTCTGAAAGGACTCCAAAATGTAGTGGGAATGCCACCTTCGAAGTGCCTGCCCCGTGACCAGGGCCTGCCGGTGAAGCACACGGTGGGCCGGCCAGACAGGCAGGGGCCTGGTTGTGGGTGGGGGTCTGGCCTGGGAGCCAAGAAACGTTCCACAGCCTCACCTTCCATATCCTCTTGCATGCAGTACTATGACGTTTAAGCAAATTAGCGTGATCTCATGTTACTCTGGAATCTCTTTCCATCTTTTCTTTCCTCTTTTCTCCTCCTTCCCTCTCACTCGGGCCTGCAGATCGCCCGTGAGGCTGAGGCCGCTATGTTTCATCGTCAGCTGTTCGAAGAAATTTTCCGCCTCAATGTTAACAACAGGGACCCTGCCGACGCCATGGCAATGGGCGCAGTGGAGGCGTCTTTTAAGTGCTTAGCTCCAGCCCTGATAGTTCTGACCGAGTCCGGCAGGTAGGGCTCAGGGAGGGGGCTCGGCGCCCGTTGTTTCCGTGAGGAAAAACACGCTCCGTTCTAACACTGCGAGTGTGTAGCAAGCAGCTTGCTGCTCCAGTATCCGCCTTGCATAACCGCTGTGGTCTGAGTTGACTTCTGCGTGGCAGGGAGGGACTGCAGGTAGGCAGGAGCAGAGCGAGCGTGCCTGGCAGTTGGCATGAATGTCACCTGAGTGTGGGCTCAGCAGGGCGAGGTGACTCGGTAGGTGCCACCAATCGGAAAAGGAACCTTGAGAACCGAAGGCCGTGCTGTTTGGGTGTCCGAGTGTTACAGCCGTCACCCCAGCCTGTTGAACTAATCCCGGGCTTGCCAATCGGTAACTCTTATCAAAAGCCGACAGTGGTTGTGTGGCACCTTGCCGAGAGAGCCCCTCGCCTGACCTTGTGCCGCCCCGAGCGACTGACGTGAGTGGTGTCTTCCCGAACGCGTGTTGCTCTTATAGATTGCCCGGGAGGCCGAAGCCGCCATCTTTCACAGGCAGTTGTTTGAGGAACTGCGTCGTCTGACTTCCCTCAACTGTGATCCCACGGAGGCTGCTGCTGTTGGCGCTGTGGAAGCGTCCTTCAAGTGCTGCAGTGGGGCCATTATTGTCCTCACCAAGTCTGGAAGGTAGGAGGTGACAGGTTCCCTAAGGTCAAGCCCACTTCGTGACAGGGTGGGGGAAGGAGACTCTCAAACAGATGGCTTTGACAGACCGCTTTTGAAAGCTATAACGGTGGAGCCAGGGGTTTGGCAGCTGCCGAGAGCCCAGGCCGCCTGCCTGCAGTGCTGGTTCCTCGGGAGATGGGCAGCCGTCTCAAACATCTGCACACACGTAACCTCAGAGTTCCACTGCCAACTTGGCGTCAGCACCCAGCCCTGCCTCCCCTCGCTGCTGCAAGTGGCAGCTCTGCCGGCAGCACTGGCTGGAAGAGTCAAAGTAAGTGTTGCAGCTTCAGTTCAAACTTCCTGGCAAGAAATCCTCGCTTTAACAGTAAGGCAGGGGTTCAGCGGATGCAGAATCTTTTTAAATCATAGAATCATAGAA